TGCACATTTCTTGTTAACTTAATTTCTAAATATTTAATCATCTTGTTACTATAAACAGGATTTTTCTCTATCATAATGTCTTCTGTTTATTTTTTATGTGAACACTATTGATTTTTGTATGTTAATTTTCTATCATGCTACTTCATTGAGTTCTTTTATTATTAAGTTTTATCGTTGGTGTTGGGGTTTTCCAGGTATTTTATTATATTGTCTGAAATTAAAGATTGTTTTACTTCTTCTTTACCCATTCTTATACCTCTGAATGGTTTCCCTTTTCTTATGGCAATGCTAATAAACTATGTACAGTGGTGGATAGTAGCAGACATAATGGGCATCCTTACTTTGTTCCTGATATTAATGGAAATGCCTTTAGTGTTTCTCCATTAAATAAGATTTTGGTTTTAGGGCTAATGTATATAACAAAGTATCCTTCAATTTTTATTTTCTTGAGTGCTTTTTATCATCAGGGGTGTTGAATTTTGTTAAAGGCTTTCTCTTCTTTGGAGATAATAATACGATTCCCCCCCGTCCTTAGATGATTTTATTGTGTTTTCACATATATGAGTATTTGTGTTTTTATTGTTAGTATTTCATTAAAATTTCTCCAATTTTAATTGCATTTCCTTTCATCCAAAAGTTGTGGAGGTTCTTAAATTTTTAGATAGAAGGATCTGTCTTTGGTTGTTGTTCATGGTGGTGGTTGTAGTATTATTAAATTCCAGTTTTAATTTATTGTGATCAGAGATATTTTAAGATTTAATTGTACTTTATAAAGATGTTTTCTCTGTGACTTCAGAGAAGTCTGTGAACATGCTGTGAGCACTGGAGAATGTGTAGTCTATGTTTGCTGGGTATAGAGTGATATACATCTGTAAGTTCTGTAATTGTTTTGTCATTTAGATCTTCTATCTCCTTAACTTATTTTTTTTTCTCCATTTGGCCTGTCTCATACTGAGAGTGGTGAGCCAAATTTCTTATTATTAGTGCATTTTTATTTATGTGTCCTAGCATCTCCTGTGGTTTTTGTTGCAGAGAGTTGGTTGCTATGTTATTTGGTGTATATATTTTTAATTCCATAGCATATTTTATTTTATTTTAGAGAGAATGTGCATGTGTGTGCATGTGAGCAAGCAGGGGAGGGGGAGAAAGAGAGGGAGATCCATGAGATCATGACCTGAGCTAAAATCCAGAGTCAGATGCTTAACCTACTGAGCCAGCCAGGAGCCCCATATATATTTTTTTAGATTTGTACCTATTTATTTTTTTGCAACTGTTGTGACATATTTTTTTTTTTCTATTTTGATCTCCATTTGTTTGTTGCTAACGTATAGAAATACAGTCACTTTGTGGGTGTTGACCTTTACCCTGTGGCTTTGCTAAACCCACTTGATACTTATTAAACTTAGGGTCTTTGGGGCACCTGGGTGTTTCAGTTGGTTAAGCGTCCGACTTCAACTCAGGTCACGATCTTGCGGTCCGTGAGTTCGAGCCCCACGTTGGACTTTGGGCTGATGGCTCAGAGCCTGGAGCCTGCTTCGGATTCTGTGTCTCCCTCTCTCTCTGCCCCTCCCCCATTCATGCTCTGTCTCTCTCTGTCTCAAAAATAAATAAACGTTAAAAAAAAAAACTTAGTGTTTTATTTTATAGATATTTTTGGATATTCTATGTAGACAATTACATCATTTGTGAATATGGACAGTTTCATTTCTTCCTTTTTAATTATCTCTTTTTGTTTTTATTTCTTTTTCTTGCCTTATTATAGTGGCTAGCATTTCTAGTATACTGTTGAATAGGAGTGATAAGAGTGGATGTCCTTGCCTTGTTCCTTATCTTAGGGGGCAAAGCATTCAGTCTTATGGTTAAGTATAATGTTAGCTGTAGCTTTTTTGGTAAATGCTTTTTGTCAGATTGAGGAAGTTTCCTTTCATTCCTCGTTTTCTAAAAGTTTTTTTTTTTTTTAATCATAAATGGAGAACACAGTGTGTGATGATCATGTGCAGTAGGGGCCACATCAGAGGGGAAGCTCCTTGATGAAGTCCCATTTGGGTTGAGATGGGAATGCTTCTCTTTACTCAGGAATGTTACAGTTCACAGTGTTACCGAAGCCATCAGTGAGCTGTTCCTTTATGTGGCTTCTCAACTTGGCTTGCCCTACAAGGGGACATCCTGTGAGTGACAGATGCTGGTCTTTGAGAAAGATTTGACTGAGAAATTAAATGTCTTCTACTAAAACAGACAAGCTGCCTAGATACCACTCATTTGCTTGCTCATTCCTTAATGGAGTACTCTGTTGGTACAAAAGATAAAGACAGGACTATTCAGGTGCTTATAGGCTGGTAGGTGGGAGAGACCCAGAGACTGGGTAATTCCAGTGCAGAGGTGAGACTGTGTAGAGGAAATTTAGAACGTACTCTTGCTGTATTAAATCAGTATAAGATTTTCAGTTTTGAAAAGCTTTATTTTTATGTTTTAGGTAAAAAATTCTTATATGTACTGATATTTAAAAACCCAAGGCCAGTTTTAAGGTAATAATTACTATGTACTATTTTGGCAGAAGTAAAGTAAAACAGTCTGTGTTACAGAGTCTCCACAGTTCTCTCAATGTGTATTAGAGTACAGTATTCTGACTCATTCTTTATTGTGCTACTGGGAATTGAGGGGGCTGAGGAAGAGTGGTAATGATCGGATGGAATTGAGGGGCTATGGCAGAGGGATGCTGGTCTCCTGGGACTAATGTGCATGAGTCTTTGTGAGGATCACTTTTTTAGGTTCCTCTTGAAATGTTGTATGAACACTTACAAGTATGCCTCAATTCCAATATGTATCTGTGTCCAGCCCTCCCGACTGCCAGCCTTATGAGATATGCATTATCATACCCATTTTGCAGAATAGGAAAACTGAGGCATAAGGGACTGGCTGATCTGCCTGAAGTCACAGTGCTAGAAGAAAAATAGGACCCTAAGCCCAGTAATCTTTCCAGAGGCTGTTTTAAGTTTAAGTGAGATAATGCAAATGTGCCTTATAAGTGTCTGGGATAGACTATAGAGGTAGAGGAGTGGAAGGTACTGTATTTTTAGATTATGTTAAAATTAGCCCAGGAACCCTTTTCAGCGGGGACAATTGGCTTGAGTTTTAGCATGGATTTTAGCAATTCAAAACAATTAGGAAGCTTGAAGTCTCTATTTTCTCTTTGGCACCATGGGCTCCTCGAGGGTTTCCTGGCCCTGACTGTAGTACCCAGGGAGCACTAGGGGAGTCTAGGGGCTTTCTTTATGGAGGCAGGTGGGCAGAGGGGTGGGCAGGGACTTACGCAGCAGGTGGGACCAGAAACCTCTCTCTTGACTTGGAGCACATGGTTTTCCCTCCAGCTTGGCTGGTTATCTTTCATTCATTCTGTCCTGAGGAGGTGTCTCCTGTCAGCTCTGAAATGGAACCTGAGTTCGTCCTGGTCCTGGGGGACACAGAAGCCCCAGGGGAAGGTACCGGCCCATCTGGCACAATCCCGGTAGTTGTTAGGTACCTTCCTGCTAGGTGCTGCTGAGCAAGAACAGGCAAGCTCTCCTCTTTCAGGAGTAGGTCGGCCCTGGGCTGATGTTCTCCCACCTATGGACGTGGGTCCCACTGCTGCTACACAGAGACCTGATCCCTCAGTCATCTCTGGGTCCTCCTCTCGTTTTTTTCTGCATGGGGATTCAGGTGGCGTCTGGGAAGACTTGCTGTGACCTGGAGCTAGCACCTGCCCTGTGGGGAGCTGGTTGGGGGCCTATGGTTAGGTGTCAGCACCACCCTCCCTGCACTCTTCACCCCAATTTATAATTGTTTACCCTTGCTTTCAGTTCTTTTGGGTATAGACCCAGACGTGGAAATGCTGAGGCATAAGGTTACCTTAGGTTTAAATTTTTGAGGAACTGCCATACTGTTTTCCACAGCAGTGCACGAGGGTTCTAATTTCTCTACGTTCTTGCCAAAGCGTGTTGTTTTCTATGTGTGTATGTTTTGTTGTTGTTGATTTTATTTATTTTGAGAGAGAGAGAGAGAGAGAGAGAGAGAGAAAGAGAGAGAGAGAGCGCACAAGCAGTGGAGGAGCAGAGAGGGGGAGAGAGAATCTTACAAGGTTCCATTTCACAAACTGTGAGATCATGACTTGAGTTGAAATCAAGAGTCAGTCACTTGGGGCGCCTGGGTGGCGCAGTCGGTTAAGCGTCCGACTTCAGCCAGGTCACGATCTCGCGGTCCGTGAGTTTGAGCCCCGCGTCAGGCTCTGGGCTGATGGCTCAGAGCCTGGAGCCTGTTTCCGATTCTGTGTCTCCCTCTCTCTCTGCCCCTCCCCCGTTCATGCTCTCTCTCTGTCGCAAAAATAAATAAACGTTGAAAAAAAAAAATTAAAAAAAAAAAAAAAAAAGAGTCAGTCACTTAACCGACTAAGCCACCAGGTGTCCCTTAAATAATAGTTTAGATGCAGAGTTTTAATCATATAATTTCTACTTTACTGTCTCTCTCTCTCTCTCTCTTTTTTTTTTTCCGTATTGTGTGGTGGTCACAGTGTCTAACATGGCATAGCTTATGGTGAAGCAGCAATTTCCAGACTTAGTAGAAACATTCTTTTTTCCTAAATATAGAACCCAGGAGATAAAATAGCTGTTAGCCTAGGGGATGTTTGAATCTTCCTTGTAGGTGAAAAGACTGTACTTCCTTTCTTGTAAGAATCCTTGGAGAACTCAGAACCCAGTGTGGAAGCCCTACTACAAATCATTGCTGTGGTGCCGTTGGCAACAGTAGCAGTCCTTTTAAGTTATAGGGGTGGAACGTGCATTCAGTCTGTATGCCTGGGCTCGCTCCCACTGCTGGATCCTTCCAGGGCCTTCTTTCTGCCAGCATCTCAGATGGGACTTTTTCTGATTCCTCTTTTGGCCCTATCTGGCTTGTTTGGGGATGCCCTCTGTCCCAGCCCCTCAGGCCAGAACCCTTGGTGTTATCCAGAAACCTTCTGTTCCCTCCAGGCTCCCTGGTGCTGAGTCCTGTGAGCCTGCCTCCTGGAGTGCGTCCCTTCTGTCCACTACCACTGCCCCATCCAAGTTCCTGTCATCTCTTTGTTTAATGACAGCATGTAATTCACATACCGTGTAGTTCACCTATGTGAGGTATGTAAGTCAGTAGTTTTCAGTGTGTTCACAGAGTTGTGTAATGGTCACCATAACCAATTTTAGAACATTTTCATCCCCCTAGAAAGAAATCCTGTACCTATTAGTAGTTACTCCCCGTTTGCCCCTCTCCTGCTGCCCATTATCCACTTTCTGTTTCTGTAGATTTGCCTTTTCTAGACATTGCATGTAAATGGAATCAGACAACATGTGGCCTTTTTTTTTTTTAATTTTTTTTCCCCAACGTTTATTTATTTTTGGGACAGAGAGAGACAGAGCATGAACGGGGGAGGGGCAGAGAGAGAGGGAGACACAGAATCAGAAACAGGCTCCAGGCTCTGAGCCATCAGCCCAGAGCCTGACGCGGGGCTCGAATTCACGGACCGCGAGATCGTGACCTGGCTGAAGTCGGACGCTTAACCGACTGCGCCACCCAGGCGCCCCAACATGTGGCCTTTTGTGACTGGCTTCTTTCATTTAGCATCAAGGTTGATTCATGTTGTAGCAGCTCTCAGTACTTTAGTCTATTTTATGATTGAAGAATAATCAACATAACACATTTTATATATCCATCCATTTTATCTATCCACTCATCAGTTGACAGACATTTGGGCGGTTGCCACCTTGAAGCTGTTATGAATAATGCTGCTATGAACATTTGTGAGCAAGTTTTGGTGTGGACATGTGTTTCATTTCTCTCGGGTAGATACTTAGGAATGAAATTTCTGGGTCATATGGTAACTCCATGTTTAACATTTTGAGTAACTACCAGACCGGTTTCCACAGTGGCTGCCCACTTTACCTTCCTATCAGTAATGTATGAGCTTCTAATTTCTCACATCCTCACTAATCCTGTCATTTTTTGCAGACTTCAAACTGGTCTACTAAAACTGGTCTTCAGGGGCGCCTGGGTGGCGCAGTCGGTTAAGCGTCCGACTTCAGCCAGGTCACGATCTCTCGGTCCGTGAGTTCGAGCCCCGCGTCGGGCTCTGGGCTGATGGCTCAGAGCCTGGAGCCTGTTTCCGATTCTGTGTCTCCCTCTCTCTCTCTGCCCCTCCCCTGTTCATGCTCTGTCTCTCTCTGTCCCAAAAACAAATAAACGTTGAAAAAAAAAATTTTAAAACTGGTCTTCAGACTGGCTCTGATATTTTTTCATTTATATTTTTAAAATTTAGTTTTCCCAGAAACTCTCAGTGGCTCCCGTTGCCAACAGGATAAAGCTCCTAGTTTCCCCCGCATGGTATCCTTTCATCATCCACACCATCTCTGCTCTAAGATTGCACTCTGGGCTGTACTGGCACCCGCACGTGTCCCC